CAAGCCATCTGAAAAGAAACACCAATCTTCATGTTTCAAATAATGAGTTAAAACCACCAGATGGGCATTTCAGAGTAGAAGGCTGTTCATGTGGGTAAGGGAATACAAAGAGGTAATAGAGTAAAATTAATTTGTCACTGTGAGATGCATGTTATTTTGTCATGATATTCTGGGGGGGATTATCTCAGAAATACATATTGTTCCAAAAACAAAATCACTGATGCCACTCCAAGAATGAGAACTCTGCACGGTCTGAACCACATGGCAGTGACTGTATGTCAGTCCCCTGTCTTCTGTCTTCTTCTTACATGTGAGTCAAAGGATCAAGACAGAAGTGGAGTAAGCATACCACAGCTGGGTGGACTGTCTTTGTGACTTGCAATGAGATCCAGTCTGATGCTGAAGCACTGTCGAGAATGCCAAGAGATGCTTTATACCAGTCTGCTGCTTGTCTAGCCTGAGCTTGACAAAATGAATCTCACCGTAAATGTTCTGAGGAAGGTGAAAGGACTCTTGCTGAGGTTAGTCAAAATCGTCTTTCTCAAAAGCTCTTAGGAAAGCAGAATTCCTGAGACACCTTCTTTGATCCTTGAGAACCAGGCAACCCTTAGCCATGAGTAAGCAGCAATTACTTTTCAATCACCTACTTAAAACAATTCTATGCTTCCAGTGACTTTCATGCTTTCTTCGCATTGGAGACATACTTCATGAGGACCAATTCCAGGATGACAGCTTTGACTCTCAAAGCAGGAGCCTGAGCAATGTTCCATTGTTGAACTCAAGAGTCCTAGAAAGGCCAGTGTCCCAGGCTGTCCAGTGACCATGGAGAAACTAACAGAAAATCAACCAGGAGTCATGACTCCCACTCATGCCTGTCACTAAGAACTCGGAAAAACAGCCACTTCACCATGGAGGCTGTGGGAGAGACAGTGCTGAAGGCTGTCATTCCTGCCTCCTCTAGAAAGACTCCCACTGCCTCTGGTGCTCACCAGTCAGAGGATCTTTTGAAGCACTATGTTAGTGAGCACAGACAGCCAGAGTCTCCATGGGGTGAACAGCTGCAGCTCAGTGACATAAACCACATGCCAACCCCAAGGAAAGCAACATTCCTGGTCATGAAGGGTACTAGCCAGAACAGTAATTCAGCCTAGACACAGGCATTATCCACACTGGGTCATGACAGTAGGGTGGGCAGGGACTTAGGCCTTCCTTCTTGGTAGTTCTTTTAACTTGTGGTTGTGGCTCATACAGAAGACTCAAACAAGGCTTGTCAGAGAACCTGATGGCGATACAGGTTCAGGTTCACCATACAACAGGGACTGGGGACATGACTCCTGTCTTTCAGATAAACCTTGCCTAAGCGGCCTAACATCGTCCAAAGGGACACTCTACTAGAAAGCCACATCTGAGTCTGGTTGCTACAGCAACACAGTATCTGGCAATGTACTGTGAAGTCGGACCTTGAGGACAGATTCTCTCCTGAAGGTAGATGATTGTGGACATATTTGACAACAGTCTTAATACTGGTCAATATGGGCTGCTGTAGCAACAGGAACCTATTGCCATTCGTTTCAGAGGTTGAAAGCCCAAGATCAGGGTGTGGGCAATCAAGGTCACAGTGCTGGCTACCTTTCTGGTTTTGGGTGCCCAGCCACCCTTGTGTTGAACCCTTCGATGGGGCTGGAGGTACAGTAGTCCAGCTTGCTACTTCCAGTCTTGCAGAAGGGGATTCATCCTACCCTGGGGGTCTATTCCCATGATCTCATCTCAATCCAGTTGCTTCCCGCTGGCCCTGCCTCCTAGTACCATCACATCACATATGAGATTAAGTTTTCAGCATAGGAATTGTGGGGACACCAACATCCCTGTAAGGGTCACCGTGAAAACTTGGGCACACCATCCTGGTCTAGCCAGCGATGCCTTCCTGGCCATCTAATTCTTTCAATGGGAATGAAAATGTCCCATGAGGCGAAAGATCTAGATCACTTCCAGAGACTAATTCAAAGCCCACTCCTTACCCACCCAGCTTCCCTTCCACAAGAATGAAAGGACTCGAGCTTCAGGACCTGCTTGCAAAAAGTCTTCTGAGAATCCATTTATCAAGCTACAGAGTTGGCAGACTCCACACAGGACATGGAGGATTTCTCAATGGGATGTTCCCACTTGCATCTCAGTGTCTCCAGAGCCAGAATGAAGTCATCCCTGGGAGAAAACACCTCTGCTGGGCCAAGCTCCGTACTAGCCAACCTCATTTCTGAGGCTGTGCACAGCATCTGTAAGGCTCAGGGAGTGTGCTGTCCCCTTGCATGGGGTCTGGCCTCAAAGGGATCTGAGCCAGAGCTTGACCTGAAGAGGCTTTGGGGCACCTGGGACTCTGGCCAGGAGACCTTTTAGCTGAGCCCTTTTTATATTTTGTGAACCATCTACAATATTATTTTAATTGAATTTTAGAAGAGAGCTACTCAATTGCAATGACACAAATGGACATTATACCATTAAGAACCAAAATAAAATATGCTCCAGATAATTTGATTCTACTTTCCAACCTGAGCTATTATTTTCCACCAGGATTTTATAAAAATTTTCAGAAAATGAAGTCATAGTTTTTTTGTGAACACCCATATTTCTACCACCTAGAATCTATGATTAATATTTTTAAACTATTATCCTATATATTTTCCCCTAAATACTTCATTTTTCATATCTTTGTTCAATACTCTTATAGTTCTTGAGATAAAATTTATAGGTTGTGTAACACAAAAATACGAATAATTTCCACAAGCCAATGTATATGTAGTGAACAGTACAGATACATATAGTCCAAATGCTGACCAAGATACAGTGGTATTTACCTATATCTACATCTCAGTAGTCATAACACTGATCAAGACACAGTGATATATACACACGTACTGAGTCTTATCAAGATACAGTGATATGTGTATCTGTAGTCCTAACCCTGAGATACATAGGTGTATATACCTATAATCCTAATTCTTACTGACATATGTGTGTGTACATACCTGCAATCCTAACTTTTACTGAGACCCATGTATGTGGGTACATACCTGTAGTCCTAACTCTTATTCAGATACAGAATGCTACCATCACCCAGGAAGTTCTCTTCTGTCCCTTCCCAGATCATTCTCCACCCTCCACCTATCCAGAGGCATTTATTTATTTATTTTTTCTGCTATTGATCTGTTTTACTGCTCTGAAAATCTAACGTGGACCCATCTGGCATGAACTCTGTTGCATAATGCTTCTCTCACCCAGTATAATGTTCTTGAGAGTCATCCAAACTGTTGTGTATATCAGGAATTCATTCCTTTTCACTACTGGGTAATATTTCATTCTTTATATACTTGAGTTTCTACACGCATTTTACTATTGATATATACCTAGGGTTCCAATTTTTGATTACTATGAAAAATCTGCTAAGAACAATTTTACACAACTCTTTTTATAGATATAATTTCACTTTCCTTGGTAAATACACAGCAGTAAAACTGCCAGGCTATGGGTAGAAGTGTGTTTATTTTCCACCCCCACCCACACTGTGGGAGAGCTCTGATGCCTAGACGTGGACATTCAGCACCATCTATCTTTCTAACTTTAGTTATTCTGGTGGGTGTAAAGTCATTTAAGCTTCTATTTTGGCAAATTTTCCAAACTATCAAAAAATATACATATATAATGATCAAGTTTGGATGAAATATTACTTGAAGAGATTTGCATATGTGATTTTAGAAAAGTTACTTTATCCAGAACCAGGTTGTTCAGTCAACAGCATCAGAATAAGCAAGTGGCTGAAGGAACGTGGGGGAAGCGGCCAGACACACTCTTCAGTTTCTTGTTCTCTCAAATAGATTATAATAAGAGAAAATGAAGTTAATGCTTAGAAAACTGTAGCCTTCATTGATAGATGAATAGGAAGTTTGTATTCCAAAGGGAAGTGAGCAGGGCAGACCCCAAGTTCTTCCCCCAGTCTGCCTCCTCGTGGTCAGACCCCTGGAGACCGTTCTTGCTGTGCTGGCTCTGCTAACTAGATGAAGTCATAAATTTCCCAGGGGATTGGGAGCGATGCCTGCTCCTCCCTGTTTAATACTGAACTCCTGGGTCTGAGAGAAAAGAATATTTTTAGCATCAATACTGTGTCAGGACCTTCCAGGGCAATTTGTATATTTTGCCCCTTAACTGTTACAGCAAGATCACTGTAAAGTTAGATATTGACAGTCTCATGTTACAGATGTGAAACAAGACTTAAAGAGCTATGGCAACTTGCTCTGAGCTACACACATACAAAAGAACCAGAATCTGACTCTACATCTTAGTTTTGCCCTGCTGAGCACCTACAAAGTAAATCACAGGAGGCTGAGTAAGTTCCTTGGGCTCTGGGATCACTAGTGGTGGGAGGTGCTTTTGGTCTCGTCATCTCTCCTCTTTCATTTCTGCCTGCTTCCTCCAGTGTTTGCAGTGAAGGGAAAGCTGATTCCCTCCGCCCCTGAGCATAATCAATCCTTTAGAAGGCTCAGATGGGAATGGGCTAGCCTGCTTCTCTGCAGTTGTGGCTGTGTTCCAGCCTCAGGGTTTGCTCTTGCAGGGAGGAATCATCAACTGCTCTCCTCCTCCTCCTCCTCCCTCTCTCC